GAGGGGCTGGCTGGGGCACAAGGATGTTATAGTGTGGGGCAAGCTGGCCAACAGCCTCCGCAATGTAGCACCCTTCTGCCTCTGCCAGCCCCAGTCACTGTCTACATATGTTGCAGTAGCGTGAATTACTCCACCACAGGACAGTACTCATCCTGAACAGTAATACTATACAGCAGAGCTGGTTAACTTACTGTGCCCTAATATGGGCACAAGTGGATGGTGATGTTTTACTGCAGAGATAATTGATCAACTCCACAGTAAGTCACACATGTAGATACACCCAGTGAGACAAACTGGATCAAAAATATCTCTTCGTACAACTAGTAAGTTGTTCACTCACCTTTGACCAAATAAGAGTGTAGATTTAGTTTCAGATTCATTGTATGACGACGGAGAGCAGCAAATTACAATAGTGGTTCTACAGTTACCACCCAATGAATCCTGAAGGATTCTGGTCATTTTACTATCACGATATGGGACATAAGTCTGCAAAAAAAACAAAAAAACAAACAAAAAAACCCCAAACAACCCAAAAACATGGATTAGTTTGAAGCTTTCCCAACACTAGTCCATTGGATAAGGATGCACACTTTATTGCACTGAAGACCACCACATTAAGAAGGATAATTAAAGTAAGCTGTATCCAGGGTCTTAAACCACAAGGTAAAATTTCTTGCATAAGTGTTATCGCTTAGGTTTTGAAAGTTTATGGTATTAGTTTATGCTTTCAGCAAGATACTTTACAGGCTTTTAAAGCTACAGATGCTTATTTATAAGCCCCATCCTAACAGAAACAAGTACAGTTAGCAGTGGATTGAAAAATACACTGCTTTGAAAGTCTTAGCTGCAAGAGATTTGGCTACATAGGAAGTTAAGAGATGTGCAGCTAAATCCCCTAGCTGCTCTGAACCTCTGCCAATGGCTCTCTCATATTCCTATACCTGCCGTAACAGGTAGCCCCCAGTCTGGTTTTTCTAAAAACTTCAAAACGTACTTACACTACTTTCAGCTAAAGCAGAGATGACATTTCCAAGAGCTGAGAGAGACTTGTTGATGTTCTTAGCTTCATCCAGCACAGCACCTTCTGCTCCAGTTTTACTAACCTACAAGATTCAGTCAGTCAGTAAGAGACATATTTTACAAAGTACCTTTCAAGTCTTAGTTTTCAGTAAACATGGCTAAAGCAGTCTGCTCCATTTAAGCCCAGTTTTAAATCATAGGGCCACCCACTATTAGGTTCAGTAGGAAAATGGGTTCTTTACCCCCATCCCAAGAGGGTGAGGGTTGGAATCAAGTTTCCATTAAAGAGACCTCTGAAAAAAACTGAAGCTTTTGGCTTTTTCAATGGAGAAATTCTCATAGCAAGTAAGCACTTTCAGCAGATTTTATTTAGGTGCAAACTAGACCATCTGCCAGACTGTTTTGGTGGAGTAGCTCATCAGCACTATTCACTTGCTAATTAATTTTTTTTTAAAAAAATGAAGCAATTCAAAGTTATGGCCCCTATACAACTCAGTCAAAATATTAACATGGGAAACTAAGATTATGAGACAACGAGAGCCAGGTTTAGCAACTGCCAGGAATCACTCACAGGTTCCTTAAGCAGAAAATCCACCAGCGAAGATTGCCTTACAGAGTAGTGCTCACATTTTTGGCCTTAGAGGCCCCAAGCAGTTGGCCAGGATCAGGCCATGGAGGCCCCTGTGCCAGGATGAGATTCCATCACACACCGCACAACCGATCTAATAGGCAGGGTGGCCTCACACAGGGGTCCCCACAAGATCTGTAGAGCCCTGTGGGCCAAATTAAACAGTTTCAGGGACTGGATCTGACCAGGGGGTTAAGCACTCTTGCTTTAAGGCTATAAACAGTATGGAAATGCTGGAAGAAAAGGGAAATTTGACAGTTCCCATACTCAATATTTTCCTTTGGTCCTAGAACGCCTACCTCAAAGGCCAGGCTTTCTCTACTGTTTTACAGTTTAATCAGCACCCTACAATCCTTCCTATTATCTTAAACATGCACTGAATTTTCCACTATTATAACAATTGTGCTTTTAGATTTTTTACACTTTGCATTAATAAAGCAAGCAAAAAAGCACACGAATTATAGAAGATTAGGGAAAGGCAACAGGTAGAATGGAAACTGGGTACCTGAAATAGGCAAGTAGTAAGGAACCAACTTCAACACTAAAAAGGATCATGACCAAAGCTCATTTGAGTTTATTCCTTCAACTCTATTTCCACAGAAGTTAAACTTCTAGACCAACATATTAAGGCTTATAAAAGGAACAAGTGATAAGACCAGTGCCTGTTTTATGGTCCTGAAGAGGCCAAGGAAGGAGACAGGCAGCTGAATATGCCAAAGAAGGTTAGAGGTTTAAGGATGAATATAGCCCTAGGAGGAGAGTGTGCGAAGGAATACAGTAATGCCAAAAATCTGTAGCGGAAGCAGACTATAGGGAATGAGCAGTACTATACAAATAGAAGTAGACAGAAGTAGTAATTGTACATTTTTCTGTTTGCAAAGCACTCACTAGAGACTCAACAAAATAAGCACATCTATGAAAAACAGACTCAAAACTAAAATCATGCAGGCTGAAACAAGCTTGTGGCACTTCTTGGGGGTTAATTCTATGATCTCTGTGTTCAGAGGAAGTAATATTTGTATGACAAAAGCCTTTAAGTAAATCAGATTTTTTAATTCCTTTCATTTTTAGAGTACATGGAAAATGTTACCTTTTCACTACCTGCCAAGTCCACAAGATAGAGTTTTCCACTCAGCTTCTGTTCTGTTTGAGTATTTTCTTGTTTCACATTAATAAGAAAGATACTATGACTTCGAGAGCTGTGTTCATTCATGTCTATAATGACAACATATTAAATGATTGTCCAAATGCCCGTCATGTTGGGATAGATGTTACACAATTATTCTAATTTTACTTTATTTGCATATTCAGAACAATGTTATCTTTTCATTGTGAACAAATATACCTAGGGATAGTGAAATAAGAGAGTCAATTAATACAATATTTTTAAACTAATATCTTATTCAGTACTTAAAACCAGATCTTTCTCCACATGTTGATTAATGCAACTTAAGCACATTGAAAAGGTTTGCTAGTTTCTATCCTCTGGCTTGGTTTCAAATTTTTGCATTTTACTTACTTAGAAACAATAGTCAAAATTCTTATGACAAATGTCCTATAACATCAGTGCAGGTTGTTCTTCCTTTGCCAAAAAGGAAGAGGTCAATAAAAGAGGTTTTAGGCAATTTCACTAAATTACTTTACATTCATTATTATATGTATATTTTTTAAATATATAAATATTATATTAATAAATTACATTCATTTACAGCGCAGGTAACATGAAGTATCTTAGCTTCACAAGATTCTAAGCGACTGAAATAAATTCAAGTTCAGTAACAGAACTCTAAGCCGATTTGTAGTCAAGCTGAGCAATGAACAGCCCTTATTTCTCCAGCTCTGCAACAGGCAGAATCAAGCCCAAGTCTGTCACTGCCCTTAAAAGATCCAACTGTAGACAAATGCAGGACAGGCAAAGTGCAAACAGAAGGAATATGTTTTTGCTTTTTTTCTGTTCCTTTGCTTCTAGGGTTGGCAAGCTCTGGTTTCCATACCTTGCTGCCACCAAAAAAAAAAAAAAAAGGTAATATGAGTTTGGCTTATCCATCCACAACATAACTTTTGTGGCAAAGGGAAATGGTGCAGACTTTGCACAATATTTTATTCAGGACTTATCCTTCTGTTATAAAATAAGTGGAAGCAGAAGAACAGGGGAATTCCCCAAAAACTATATTCCTAGTTTTGCTAGGGATGAAAAAAACTTCGCTTCATCCTCTCAGCCAAATGTTGTCAGTATGTCATCACCTGTCCTCTCCTACCTAGCATATTTTTGTTTGTTTCCTCCTGTTCTATTATCTCTTCCTAGTGACACATGGAGGTCAGCCACTAAGCCAAGTTATTATATTTCACTTTTACATCAATAGAGCACCATAGAAGGAACACTTACTTGTAACTGCTACATGTCTGTTAGATTTTCCTTCATCTATGGTATCCATAACTTCTTCTGGACTACATACAAAACGCTCTGTGCAACCCTTTAAAAATTGATGTAACAGAGGTAAGTGATATACATTAAAGAAAAGGTAGGTCAGCTCAAAGCATCAGGCTTATACTCACCTTTACATAAGGAACTCTGTTTTTATCCTCGTGAACAGAAAGATTGGTCTTCGAAACTGAAAGAAAAACATTCGATAGCTAAAATATTTATTGACTTATTCAGGGCAGCATCTTGGAAATTTGACAGTTTATAGTACCCATCTGGAAGGCTACAGGTGTCATTTCACTTGGTATCTACCTCAATAAACATATTCATCTGTATAAACACATTTAAAAGCATTTAAGCAGCTCTTTCTGTGTAAACAAATAAATTATACATGGAAAAAACTGGTTACTTAAATCTGTAATGATAAAGTTAGAATTAAAAAAACCAAACATTAAAATACTTCACTTACCATTGCCACTTACACAGTTTACCATTAATATACTATGTAACTATTCTATTCTTATGGCAAAGTTTCTCTGCTTCTCTACAGATCAAGTTACCAATCACACACTAAAAAAAGAGGAGACACTTACCATCCAAAAGGTCCCTTATCTTGTCCAAGTATATTTCAAAATATGACACCTAACAAAAAAAAGATAAAGCATTAGATTAACAGATGCTAAAGCCAGAAAGGGCCACTTTTACTATTTAGTTCAGGGCTGGGCAATTATTAGAACTGGAGGGCGACTTAGGAGTTTTGGTGAGCTGCTGAGGGCCATACATGCAAGCCCCCTGCAGCCAGGCCAAGGCTGGTGCCAGAGAAGGAGCAGAAGTGGAAGCAAGAGCCCGGCCTGGCCAGGGCTGTAGTGTCTTTTCTCAACTCCTTCCCACTGCACACTGCCTGGCTTGGCTGACACCAGCAGAGAGTAACAAGGCTGAGAGCTGCACTGTGCCAGGGGCAGGACCATAGTATTCACAGCCCCATGAAGCTGGGCAGGTGGGTGGGAAAAGAATGCCCTTGTCTCTTGGGGTACCCCCCACCTGCTGCACAGACCCCAGCTGAGAGGGGGCTCAGGGTGAGGGCCTCAGTCCTGTCCTGCCATCCCCCCTGCTGCAAAGTGTCAGGTGGGCTCTGGCCTCTGCTGGTAGTGGGGGATGCTGGGCAGAAGCAGCCCCACCCAACCACCCTGTCCCGCAGGGTCAGACTCCATCTGCTGCGCAGTGCTGGGTGGGCAGGCAAGCAGAGCTGCTTCTGCCCAGCATCCCCCACCATGCCAGCAGAGGCCAGAGTTGGAGCCACTGGCCCTGGCCTCTGCTGGTGCTACAATCCAGACAGAATTAATTGGCAGGCAAGATATGGCCCATGGGCCATATTTTGCCCACCCCTGATCCAATCTGATGATTTCTTGTATAACACAAGATCTAACCCACAGCACGGTGCTTGAATTCAACTGCATCATCTTTTAGAAAGAAAAATTTCATGATTAAAAAGCCAGGAATTTACCACCATAAGAACTAGTTACCAAGGAATCCTTATCCTTAATGTTAACATTTGCCATCTTTTTTCCACTAAATGCCCTTATTTAGGATCAAAATGTTCCTGTCATATTTTCATTCTCTGGGAAAGTTTGTCTTTGCAAGTATACTCAGGCTTTATAAATTAAAATGGAGGCACTCTATATGCAAAGCACACCCATTTAATCATAAACTATTTTAAAAGAAAGATGCACCTCTTGATTTAAGTAAGCCAGTAATGAAACAGAACTTACCTTAATATGGAACTCCAAGTTTTCATCCATGGAGTAAATATAATTAAAAATATCTTGCACTATTCTTGGAATTATCCCCATCCCATCTGGATCATGAAGTTTTCCCTTATTGGAAAAAAACAAAACCACAACTAAATACAGTATCCTCCAACAGACAGAATTCCACGAGTACAGATTTTGTATGTAAATAAACAAAAACTCAGTGCTGACTAGTACATCTTTAGCATCTTGCTAGTTTAGGCCCAAGATTTGTTGGGGCAGGGACAGAGGGAAGAGAGAGAAGACCTTGTATATTTCTCAAACTGAAGTTAAAATGCTTCTATTAGTGGAATACTATTTTTTATTTGGTTCCAGCAGCACCAAAGACCCATACATTAGTTACTGATATTCCCAACCTCATGCTCATAATAATACCTAAAAAATTACATTAACAAAAACAATGCAAGATTTGTGGGGCAGCAGTGTCAGATGGAGAGAGATGAGGTATTATTTCCAAGTGAAAAAACTATGGGGAGGAAAAAAGATAGGAAAGACAAAAAACAACACATCTCCTCCCAACTTTTAAAAGATGAGAGCCCTTTCAAGACTTCTTACCTCCATAGTGTGCGTTTTCCCAGATGATGTCTGCCCATAAGCAAATATTGTACCATTGTATCCTTCAAGTACATCTAAGGACGAAAGCATTATTCATTACAGTTCAAATAAGTGAGTAATATTTAGAGAACCAGCGTACAAAATGACTGGCTAACCAAAGGATTTTAACTCACATTTTAAATCCAGACTTTTACCTCTTATGTTATTGATTTGTTCAATACTCTAATAGATAACTAAAAGTAAGATCCTGCTTAAGAAAAACTGGGCTGTTTAGACCTTGAAATACTCTTGATTAGATAATTCTGTTTTACAGTTCTCATGTTAAATGATTGCAATGAGTGGCTAGAGAGCCTGTACATTAAGAACCACAAGGAATAAAGAATATATTTGACTAAATGTTTCATTAAGTAGCTAATATTACAGTAAAATCTTCCTAAGCTGTAGTTTATATAAACTTAGAAGAGCTCTGTTCACATGCACATTTTTGAATATTTGTACTGAAATCAGCTTACTGGGACTAGTAAAAGTATTTTACTCAGCCTGGTCTATTCCTATCCCACATTTTAACCCTTTTGATTTCAGCTCAGTTATGAAGCTTTACCAGCATTTTAATTTATAAGCCATTTTTCCTATTAAAAAAATCTTTCAGATAGAGACCTAGCTCAGATCATTTCAACTATAAGTGAACATCCACTTGCTTTTAAGCAAGTGAAAACATAGGCTTTGGATTGAAAACAAATGAGCTAGCAATGGTAGCCACACCTGCCACAGATTTTTGGAAGGGGAAAATGTGGGAAGAGAAGAAACTGGCATCATTCTTTTTCACCTTAGTACCTTATCGTGGGTAATGTTTCCATACTGTACATGTTTTCCTCACCTTTGACAATCTTTTTAGCACAGTCATTATAAACTTGTTCTTGCGTTGTGCTCGACTGGAATACACGGTCAAATACATAAGGCTTGGACTGAAAAGACAGAAATTAGGGTAAGAAATCCCAGTTCTAAAATGGGCTTATTTTAAGCGAACCTGACCATGTATGAACGAAGCCTTGAACTAAACATATTCAGTTTCATAGTAGCTAGGGTCAGGAGGGACCTGAACAGATCATCTAGCCTGACCCCCTGCGCCTGATTGGTGAGGAAAGGGAATCCCAAGTCCTCCAATCATCTTTTGCCCTTTCAAAACCCCTGGGCTAGGTCACTGCCAGCTAGCCCATCACATGAGTTTTTAGGCAGCCACCAGGTCCCCCCTCAGCCTCCGCTAGCTGAAGCTGAACAGGTTCAGGTCCCTCAGTCTCTCCATGTAGGGCCTGTCCTGCTGCCCTCTCACCAAGCTGCTGGCCCTCCTCTGAACCCTCTCCAGGCTGGCCACATCCCTTTTGAAGTGCCGCACCAAGTACTGGACACAACGCCAACTGCGGCCTGACCAAATTCGCATAGAGAGGGGGTATCACCTATCTGGACCGGCTTGAGATGCACCTTTGGATGCATGACAAGGTGTGGCTGGCCTTGCTGGCTGCGGTCTGGCATTAGCGGCTCATGTTCATCTTGGAGTCAATAATGACACCAAGATCCCTTTCTGCCTCTGTGCTTTCAAGAGGGGAACTCCCCAGCCCGTAGGTATGCTGGGGATTCCTTCTCCCAAGGTGCAGCACCCTGCATTTATCGACGTTGAACCCCATCGTATTCTCATCTGCCCACTTTTGTAGTCTGTCTAAATCTATTTGCAGCCTCTCTCTCCCTTCAAGTGTGTCCACCTCGCCCCACATCTTAGTGTCATCAGCAAACTTGGACAGCGTGCTTTCCACCCCCTCGTCCAAGTTGCTGATGAAGATGTTAAATAGTGCGGGCCCGAGGACCGAGCCCTGGGGTACCCCACTGTTTACATCTCGCTAGTCTGAGTACAACCTGTCCACCACTACTCTCTGGGTGCGCCCCATCAGCCAATTTTTTACCCATTCAACTGTGTAGGCATCAATGCCACAGTTGCTCAATGTATTGATGAGGATGGGGTGAGAGAGTGTCAAAGGCCTTCTTAAAGTTTAGAAAGACTATGTCCACGGTGACACCATCATCCAAGGATTTAGTTACTTGGTCTATTCCCCCCACACTTTGGAGAGTTGAGGGAGAGAAAAAAAAAAAAAAAGTGTCCACTGTACAAAAGAAACAGTACAACCAGACATTTTCTCCATTTTTCTCTAGCAGTTGAAGTAAAAGGGAATATTCACAACTATAGTCTGTGCCACAGGCCAACTCCAAATCATGGATCATGTTTGCTTACTATGTCCAATTAAAAAAAAGAAAGAAAGAAAGAATTACAAGAGTGTAAGAAGTAAATATTCACCTTACTTGATCATATTGCCTATTACCACTTTTCATACAATAGCTATAAAATGTCCAGGAATGTTCTTTGAACAAAGTTTGCAATGCAATGTCAAATTTTGTATCTTTTTTTGTTTAGAGAAGATTCAAGCTCCCTTCAAATAATTCTTCTACTTCTTTAAATCAAAAAAAAGTGTTGGGAGAATACTGTTTTAACACCTTATCAACAAAATAAAGCTAATTTTGGAGGGTCCACATATAGGGCTTAAGTTAAGGGGTGCCCTTGATCTAGAAACCTCCAATTTTGCAGTAATCTACAGCTATTCTTTGATGGTTACCAAGAAATAAATTGTTCTCTTTCATGTAAGTTTTCCATGTGCCTAAACTCTACTTCCAATATAACGTGTGGCAATTACTTTTTAGCTTCTTGTTTCCACTAAGGGGAAAATGAAAACAAAATTATGAAAAGGAAAAAAAAAAAAAGGCTTAAATTGCATATAGAAAATATGGATCCTTCATTATAGTATTAGACAATATTGCTGACCATGTGAACAAACTGACGTCTCCTTTTAGTTTCATGCCCCATCAAAAAATTTTTAAACAGTAGATCTATGTATTTGATTTGAGTGCCTGCAGTATGTTTTAACTGATACACAAATGTATTCACCCAGATTAAACTATACTCTATATACACACACCTTAGAACAGGGGTGGACAAAAACAAATACAGCCTGCAGGCCGGATCCAGCCTGCCAACTGATCCACAGGCAGGCACTAGCCAATTGACTGTATCTGGCCCAGCTACCACCCGAGCTCCATTCAGTGTTGAGCCCTGCCCGCTCCCACTCACACCCAGACAGCAATGCCCGGGCCCTGGCCAGCATTCAGTTTTTTGGTGGAGCTGCTGCCAGACACCCAGGCTCCCTCCACCTCCGGTAGAAGATGCTCCTCCTCCTGCAACACTCCAGGCAGCAGGTAACGCAAGGAGGCCATGATCAAGCATACTAGGCACCACACGCCCAGCAAAGCAGAGAGAAGCTTCTGCCAGGCAGCTCCTTCCCCAGCACATGGGGACTCCAGTTCCAGGCCGCCATCCACCCACACAGCCACCCACAGATGGCTGCTCAGCATGCCAGGGGGTGGAGCAGGTGGAAGGCACCCAGGACCTGGAGCCCCACATGCTGGGACAGGATCCAACAAGCTGCAGTTTTCCCCCAGCCAGGCTGGGCATGTGGCACCTGGCGCATGTTCCCACAGCTGCTGCCTCTCCCATGTGCTACAAGCTGCCTGGAGAAGCACAATGGGGTAGAAAGGTAAGGAGGAGAAGCCACTGGAAGTGGTGGGACACGAGCAGCACCTAGGGTGGCTGCAGCAGTCCTGCCGGGAAGTTTTGTATGCTGGCCAGGGTTGCGGCTGAGCTGTGCTGTCTGGCAGGCATAGGGCAGGTGCAGAACGGGCTCAGCCCCAAGCGGCGTGCTGCGGGGACAGCTGCAGGCCAGATATAAGGGGGAGGGGGCAGAATGTGCCAAGCAAGCTGTGCTGCATATGTCCTCTACCCCTCCTTCATCTCTAGCTGGCTCCCAGGACCTGGCAATGGGCAGCCCTCCCTACACACACAGTGCAAGAGTAAGACTATATTTTGAGCTATTATGCAATCCCCTCTATACATTATTCAAAAATATATAAATCAGGACAAAATTTTTTTGAAATAAAAGTAAAATGTGTTATAGTAGAGGTTTGATTTTTTGTATTTTCCCTATAATTTGTTAAAATTGTACCTTCTGAAAGATTGTGTGCACACAGCCATTGGCAGCTCACCCAAGCTCATTAAGTGTCCCTCCAGCTGAAACATCTCTGCCTTAAAAAGCATCTTATCAGAATTATATTTTAACATTTTCCCTGCATTAAAAGGTATACATGTATTTCTACACAATAAAATTTGGAATAAGAGTATGGTTATCTTTACTCTACTTAAAATCATGCCTAGATATCTGGTACCTTAAGAAGTACCTTTTAAGTTGCCATTAAGATGCATTATGCAAGGGAAGAACTATTTTTTTTTTTTAAAGAAAATGAACCAAACAATCTATCACATTTACTTTGGCACTATTCAGTTAGATTCATTACCATACTATTTTTTGTTAAATGGTACGGCTCAGGTAGAGCAGGAAATTATTTTAGAGTCAAGTCCTTATATATTTTATATAGATGCCCTTCACTGAATTGATCTTATTTTTATGCATAAAGTGAAAGATCCAGGCACCCATGACAAATTCCAGTTACCCACAGATGACAATTCCTCACATCCTATCTGATATTCTCCACTGCATTTCCCTTTCCTCTACTCCCAACCTCCATAACAGCCATAGAGAAAAAGTTGTGTTTGGGCAGCATACCACGAGCATTGGACTATTACAAGTTGGCTAAGAGATTAGATCTCAAAACGCTAAGCACCCTTGATGGCCTTACATACTGACCAAGACATCTGTTAGTCATTAACTGAAGTCACAAACACTGAATTTCAAAATTTAAGGGGGAGAAGGGAAAAGAAGGGTGGACCAATTTGTTTGTAGATTATTTAAAAAAAATATATATATTTTGAGGTAGTAATTTGCATCGAATCACATTTGGTTTCCTAAGAATTTGCCATATCAATTCAACTGGAAATCCAGTTGAATGGCCTAATTTATAGAGGAAAGAAAACCAGATTTCTAATGTAAATGAACAACAGAAATCTTTCTGCACTTACAAACTATGAAATGCAATCCTACTGTTCTGTTTTCATATCACCATAAAAAAAAAGAGTCCTAAAGTCATACTGATATCATGGGACTGTTCTTCACCAATTTGTTATATCCAATGCCTTTTCTACATCAAGGGAGTAAGCTTTGAGGGGCAAGGAACAGAAACACCTCTTGTGCTTGACTGGGAACAATGCAAACCACCTCAGGAACAAAACGCAAGCTGTACTGTCACTGTCCATAAAATTCCAACTTTTTAATATATACAATGGTTCAAAGGGCTGTTGATATATAAGAATTATTTTTAAAGGCTTACCCAAATTTTAGCAAAAACAACATTGCAAACTGATGCAGCTGACAATATATAGGAACACACATGGTATGTAGCTTCCATTCTTCCCAGAACCCAAAGACCCTTAGTTAAAACACCCATCTTCATCTCTTTTCTAGTGCTTGCCCTGCTCACCACCTTGAACATATTGAGCTATCTTTCCTCCCTGCCTATTTCCAGGACTTTCTGTGGGACCGTTTTTGGCCCAAATCAACATTCCCACCCCAGGTTGAGATCAACTGCTTTGGCCTATCTTATATTCAACAGTAAATTTTCCTGAATTAAAATGAAGGGTTTACATCTACATGGTGTTTCACAGGTATCTTAAAAATTTACTGCCTTGTTAGGTGTCTTGGGAAAACCAGTTTCTCCCTTTGCTTACATAAACATCCAAATGATTCAAAGTGTATAAATCTGTTCTTTACAGAAGTCAGTTAACATGTATCCTCTCTCAGTGCCTTTTCCATGAAAGGCACCAAAGACTGTCTTATTAAAACCAATTAATTCCAACTTTAAGGTTAAAACTAAGGTTTACTTTTCATACTTCTGAGGTTAACTCTGTAAAATGGTA